TCCCAATTTTTTCAAAAGGACTTCATGGGAATCAGGTCAAAGGCCTTTTTGAAGTCCCGGTATATGACATCAACCTCATATCCCCCATCCAGGTGGCAAGTAACTTGATCATAGAAGGAAATTAGGTTGGTCTGACATGACCTGCCCATAACAAAGCCATGTTGTCTATTCTTCTGAATACTTCCTTCTGCTAGCCTGTCTGTAATGGATTCTTTAATAATTTTCTCCAAGATTTTACCAAGGATTGAGGTCCAATTGATTGGCCTGTACTTTCCCAGATCCTCCTTTCTCCCTTTCTTAAAGATAGGCACCACATTGACCTTCTTCCAAACTTCTGGGACCTCTCCTGAGTGTCACGAGTCTTTAAATAACTTTGCCATTGGCTGTGCAATGACATCAGTGAGTTCTTTTAGCACTCTCAGGTGTAGTTCATCTGGTCCTGCTGACTTGTAGGTATTTAACTTTTGTAGGTGGTCCCCCACAAGATCTATGCCAAGATCTCTGCCAACTATGGGAGGGTGGTCACCCCCACTATGATCATCCTGTATCCTGTCAAGTAGGCTAACACCCTTGGACTGGTGGGATACTGATGTGAAGTATTCATTCAGGAGTTTGGTTTTGTCCTGAGTGTCATTTATCAGCCTTCCCATTTCACTGATCAAGTGCCCTGTGCTTGATGGAGCATTTGCCTATAAAATCTATAGGCTATAGACTATGTTCTTCCTTCCTGCTCTATGGGACAGGAATAAACAGATTTCCAAAACCTGTTTACTCTGAGAACTGGATCAAAAATTTTCTAGTAGACTATCTAGGAAGAGAAGGGAGGCTCATACTCCTTTCCTAGCTGATGAGGGCATAGATCAATTCAGTCTAACCCTTACTGATTGTCTCTTGTGTTAAAGTTTTTCTTGTGTTTACTGTTTGTGTCTCACCCTCACTTCTAATTTCCTCAGTTATAAATCAATTTAGATTTATTAGCTTTCTGCACAGAACTCTAGTAGCCTCTTAATAATAATTATCATTATTACTGATTAAAGTTGCATTATTCATGCCAGATGGAGTCCCCTTTCTGTCAGCTAGAATGAGTTTGTATTATGTAGTTATAAGGTGTTTGTGATCTAAATAAACAGATGGCACAATGTGGCTGCAAATTATATGCCGATGATGTCAGCAACAATGGTTTCCAGGCATAATTGCTTTAAATGAACTCTAATGCAGCAAGGAGTTGAGGCTTTTTAACAAGGTAGCTGGCGTATACAGTATAATTACTATACAACATAATCAATAATACCATCAACACTATATAAGCACTAGTGGTGAAGGTTGCTTTTGAGAATATAGTCCTTACAACTTGCTGCCTTTAAATCATTGTCTTCTTCCAGGCAGTTAACATTTTTGAGGTTAAAAAATGTGCCATCAGGAGAATAAAAACCGATTTTTCCTTTGAGTTAGAATCCCAAGTTCCAAAACCTTAGCAGAGGGACATGGGCATTTTTCCTCCACTGACTTTTCCAAACTATGACTGTTCAGATAAAAATATGTTATATATCACAGTATTGCCATGCTTGCAGACCTAGGGTTTGGGAAAGGAAGCTGCATGTTTTTTCCAGGTAAAAAGAAACTAGAATCTTCGCTAATATGCTAGGGGCCTAGGGCTATATTATTCAGTTTAAGGTTGAAGCAAAAACAAATGTAACTTTATTGGAATTCATTTGATATATTATATACTATGTATGAAAATTACAACAAACTAGTAAAAATACTCAAAGATGTTGCTTTCTTAGTACTGTAGTTATTAGAATTAAATGCACATCTCTTTCAGATTCATAAAACAAAATCGAGCCTTTTTGAGCATCTTGACAGTGTATCCAGTACTTCACTGGAAGTTATTTCCACACCTGATTTAATGTTTTTAGATAGAGTAAAAAATAGTCTTCAGAGCTGTAAAATAGGAATTACATTGACAGGACCAGCTAGCAGAGAGTGGGATTGCAGAAGAAAGGTACCTTGATTATTGGAGCACTACGACCATTTAAAAAGGTGAAAGGGTCCTTACCACTTGCAGAATGAAGAGTTTAGAAGGAATTGGGTAGATTATAATAAACCATGAAGTCAAGTGACTCTTCACTGCTGCCTGAATAGAAATTCTGCTGCCACTACCAGGCAGTTGGTTTTAAACTTTGAGTTGACCAGGAATCAAAGGAGGGATGCAACTGCACTACTGTACCCCCCTGGATCTGCCTCTATTACTAGGTAGGACAATTAACAAATTAACAAAAATATTCCTCATGACTCCCATGGGATCCTGGGTCTGATAACAAGTAGACGTTTGCTTAATACATTTTCTGAGTGATACTTTATGTAGAATAAAAGAATCAAAGATGAGGACAGATCTGTTTGGTTATAAGGTCAAGTGAACTTATACGCTGTCCAGAACTTTAACAGTGCTTTAAGCAAGTTTCTGCAGAAATGACTTAGTGATAGATTTAAGAAATATATGCAATGCCTACATTTTAGGAGCTCGGTCCCTAGAGGAATGGATTCCAAAGCCTACAGTTAGTTGCCTAGGCTTCCTGTACAGTACATGAGTAGTTATCAGCTAGAGGTAGACAATAGGAAGAACTTAACAGAGAGTTCTGTCTGAGATTCTTTCCCCCTGCAAGGCTGAGGCAGTTCCAACCACTTGAGATCCACAGCCAGGAACTCATTCCTGAGAGGGAGTGCTTACAAATTTTTTTTTCCACAGGCAGAGGAGGATAAGCTGGTAATAGTTGTAATGAGGCTGCTCACCTTCTATATAATTTCTTAGTGGTAGAAAACTCATTTAAGAAGTGCAAGACTTGAGTTCAATTCCTTTCTTAGCCTGTGGGATTCAAATCCACACCTCCCACCTTCCAGGTATGCCCTAACTACAAGGCCTTAGGTCATTAAGTGTGGGGGCATATTCAGGGAACATATATGTTGTTCCACAAGTTATCCATTACAGGCAGGCAACAGGATGGAGTATCAGCATGTGGCTGGGAGAGGGGAAGGGGGTTGGGATTGCTATAGAGTCTTCCATGGGCCACAAATCCCTTAAGGAGACCTTCCTGCAGGGCACAAAGCTGTACTCCTACTCAGTCACAAGGTTGTGCTGCTTTTCTTTGTCTGACCATCCATACTTGCATCTGGCCTTATTCTGATGATTCATAGATTGTAAGGGGCTGGAAGGGACCTCACAAGATCATTGGGCCCAGCCCCCCTGCACTACGCAGGAAAGACAACTGGCGTCAGGTGGCCCCAGTGAGGTGACCATCCAGTCTTCTCTTGCAGATTTCCAGGGTAGGCGATTGCACCACATCTGGAGGGAGTGTATTCCACAGTCTGGACACCCTAACTGTGATGGATCTTCAATTAAGCTCAAAGTTTCTTAGTTTTTTAAACAGTTCAATTTTTTATGGGCTTTACAAACAGGCATTTTTACCCTTTTAGTATAGACTGTCCATAAACTTATAGACAGTTAGCAACCCTGATGGAGGTACCTAGTGAGTTTAGGCAGCTGCTGAGTAGTAGAGGTAGAAAGGAGTTGTGGGAGGGATTTCAGTTTGGACTTAGGTGGCTAAAGATCACTTAAGCCTTATTTTAACTGCCTAAGGCCTTCTTTAGATTTAGTTTTTAGTTACATTCCTTCACCTCTCAGGAGTGATGTTATTGCTTTTATTTATTGTTATGGTGTTCAGCTGTTTTGGTGTACCGTTTCTTGTATGACATCCATCACTAACAAGGAACTATGTGGTTCCATTTAGGGCATCCAGTGTAAATCTTTCTGTTAAAGGCCTAAAATGGTATTGAAAATATACTTAAATATGTACAGTTTTGTTTCCTTATTTATATGATAGCATTTTGTCTTAAGATCTACAATTTGAATATATTAGGCCCGTCTGAAGTGGCTAGTATTCACTTTGGATTTGGATTTGGCTGATTTGGGGGAAAGTGATTCAACTCAGTGATTCGAATCACTGTCCCAAATCGATTCAGCTTAATCAGCCCTATGCCCCGCTCACTCTCCTAACCCCGTCAGTGGCTGCCCCACCTGACCTCAGCTCCCAGCTCTTTGGAAAAAAAAGCCCGGCACTCACTGGCTGCTGCCAGGAAGAGGGGTGATCCCTGCTGCCCCCCTGTGCTGTGTGCAGGGCTCTGCCACAAGCCCCCCAAAGCCCCAAGGCTGCTGCAGCAGCCAGCTAGTCTGGGGCTTTTTTAAGAATCAGGAGCTGGGCCGGGCAGGGAAGCCATGGGCGGGGGGGTGCTGGAAGAGTGGGCAGGGGTCAGGGGGCTTGTGGCAGAGTCCCCCACATGACATGGGGCAGTGGAGGGCAGCAGGAATTGCCTCCCTGCCTGGCAGCAGCCAGTGAGTGGGGGCTTTTTTTTAGAGAGCTGGGGCCAGGCGGGGCAGCCATGGGAGGGGGGGCTGGGACAGCAGGAGGGGGTCAGGAGGTGCTCAGGGAGGCTTCTCCAGTCCCCTCTCCCGCCCCCCCCCCCCACTTACCAGCATGGAGTCCAGTTCCAGCTCCCTGTGGCAGCAAGCGGGGACTGTCCACATCTCCAAAGGTCTCCCATTCTTTTCCAAATTGATTCAGAGAGCTTCAAATCGATTCAGACCATTTAATTGGTCTCCTGATTGATTTGGATTTGGAGATTTGGCCACCAAATCGAGTTCAATCTCCTCTAAATCAAATCAGCACCTGAAGCTTTGCACAGACCTAGAATATATGTGTAAAGAAAAAACAGAGTTAGGATATGAAGTGCCAGCATAATAAAGTTCCTCAGTTTCACTTATGTTTGACACTTGTGCTTAACTATTTAACTATATTATTTTTAGTCAATGTCCAACTTTAGTAAGATACAAACATTTTCATATCACAGCAGTAGAAGCTTTCCTTGAGGAACTGCAAGAGGTCCAGAACTGAAAGATTTAAAATAAACAGAATTTCACATTTCTTTTTCTGTTTTTTTCCCTAAAGGTGGACGATGTCACAAATCCTGTACAGGCCGATGCTGGGGGCCCACAGAGAATCACTGCCAGACCTGTAAGTATGTGAGGATAAGGGAAGATAGGAGTGGAAAGTTTGGAAGAGCATTTCCAAAGTGTTCATTTGAGAGGGACATTGTCAAGGTTTTAATAGAATTTTTAAATAGTTCAAATATTGTCCCCTGTACAGAGTCCAATAAATTGCCTGGTTCTTCTCAGTGAATTTGTTCTTCTCCATTTAGCAGTTTTTTTCCTGTGCTTCTGATGAACTTAAGAGAATTTACTTTGTTATCTTCACTTGATGTCAACATGGAACATTGTTTTGGGGAATTGTGCTTGCTACTTTGAAATATTTTGGACTGAGCATAATAACAAGAATACCAGACTCTGGGCCAGATCCCGTAATAGTGGCAGGTGACCTAGTCAGATGCTGAATGCCCTAAAATCCCCTTACATTCAGCAGCAGCTGGAGGCTAAATATCACCTTGCAGAATGATTTCTTGATAATGATTTTAAAATACAGTCCATTGTATTTTGGCAGCGGCGGCAATCCCTCAATACGAGGAAGATAGTCTTCCAGGAACTAGGGAAATTATCAGTTTTTTCAGAATGTAGTCAGTTGTGTTTAGGTTCTGTCTAAATGGATGATCATAGGTATTGCTTTAAAGAAAGGCACACATTATCTTGATCTTTAAAGAACATCATAATAGCAAATGTGTTCATAAAAAATAATAATCATCCAGAAAGAGAGCCTCCTCCCATCATGTTTCTAAACTGATTATACAGATATCTTGAAGCCATAAACCCCAACATCAGCAGAATGTGAAAGAAATAAAATGAAGAGCTTATAAACAAAATCATAATCTATCATTTTTTCTAAAAGGAATATGTTTGGAGACAAGCAAATATAAAATTTTCCTTTTTTAAAGGCAGCGTCTTGAAAATTGTGCTTACTAGATTCAATATTCTTAAGAAGTCAAAGAGCTTGTAATATTTTCACAAGTCAGACAGTTTTCTAGATCACTGATAGTAGGGGTGCACTTTTCACATTGTTCCTCCCAGCTGATTCTTCTGTTGTCTGAGGCACATATGCTGTTGGTAAAGTTTGCCATATAGGTTACTTACTTCTAGTTGAGAAATGACTCTAGTAAAAAGCTCAGTGGTTCATTAAATCATTCTACCCTATTGGCCACAAATACCAAAGAAAAACCGTTTGCTTCAAATAGAATTTGACCTGTTCCATGATTAAAAGTGTTCTTGGCTAGATTGTAGCATCATTGAATAATGCATCATGCACAGTGGTATTAAGAGAAGAATTGTTCTTCTTCCTGCCCAGTGGATCATGACAGAACTCCTTTTTCATTTCCTCATGCCCTTATGATTATCAGAAAATAGGTTAATGCTGAAAAATAATCTTTAAATCAGAGTTTCCCACTGAACCAGTGGTGAAAAAGAACTGGACGTTAGTTTGGCAGAAACCGTTTTTGTCGAAGCTAAATTAGAATTAATTTACAGTCTTTCTTTATCTGTTCTACCCAGTAGAGCTGTCTCTCTCTCAGATCTATGCATATCCTAACAACTCGGGTAAATATCCAAACACTTATCCAAACCTTTGAAGCACTTGTCACTAGCCCCCAAACAGATCATAGTAGTATCAGAGTGGGTTCTGGCTTGGCCTCGGATTCCTGCAGGCAACTGTTCTAATTCTGTATTATGTGGCATTGTGTTCCCTTCAGTGGGACCCTGTGCAGCTGCAGAAGTCCAGCTACAGAATTGGTTCCGTAAGTCTAGGCAAAGCTGCAGTAAGATAAGTAAACAGATTTAGTGGATTAAAGTAGTAAGACCAGAGCGAGCAAAATTTATCTGCAATGTTGTTCTGAAGTCAAAAGCTTAGCAGAGCTATACAGTAGGTTTACTCTTTGGAGTGACAACCATCTCTCTCTACAGTGACTGAATGCTTAGACTGGAGCTTTGGGAACAGACTAAGGCTTGAGCCTGGGTACAAAAGTAATAAATGATAAAAGGAGGCAAGCTATCCAGACTCCAGAAAGATATATAGACCATGCGCATCTCATTTGAAATAGCTACCCAATGCCCTTTTGCCTTTGAGCACACATCAGGATAGCGCTCTGCAACTTCTGACTATCGGGAATTGTAGATATTTTATTTCAGATATCCTCTATCCCCTATGGTCAAAAGTCATCCTGAGTAAATACTGCAGGGGGTGGGGAGGAGGGAGAAGGGGGAATGTTTCATGTTAGATTGGTGGTGTGCACTTCTTTGAAACCTTCTATGCATTTTGTACTTATTTTGGCAGTAATTGTTCCAGCCAAAATATTTCATTCCCAAAACAGCTCTCATGCAGTTAAATGTGCATTTTTAATAGTTCTTTTTAATGAGATACTAAAGCAAAGAAGGAAAAAATCCTAATGAGCCCCTCTCCTAAGATAAGATTTAAATGATTTTCCATGAAAAAGGATAAATCCAAAAGATCTTAATCCTTGTTTTTCATTTCAAATTACGTGAAAGGGAAAAAAGCAACAAGATACTTTTGTTCTAGCATAAATGTCTACCAAATATTTGCTTCGTGTGTTGCCTTCCAGCTATTTCTCTCTATCTGGAGCACCTGCATTTAACTGCCTTACTGTCTATACAAATGTGACATGTACATTTACATATTTAAGAAGACAATTATAAATAGTTTCCTAAAGAGATAGAGACAGGATCATTTGAGGTTTCCATCTTATGCAATTAACAACCCATTTTTATATCATTTTATAATTGGAAATGATAGTAAATATTAATGACAAACATTATAAAAAATGACTTGAGATTCTGAATACCTTACTTTCAGGAAAGGCTAATTTACAGGTTTCTTACAGAAGGGTCTGATTTTATAAAGGGCAATCAATACCCATGGAATAAAAGTGAAGACAAACATACAAAACTCTCGATATGCAAACATCTCTACTCATTTTTTTAAAATGATTTGCTAGACCTCGTTTCTTGTTTTGCCTCTTTATTTCTGTGGCTTTTCCCCCCATTTCCCTAGGAAAGAAATTGAAACTGCTATAAATTGAATACATGATTTTATTAAAATGACAGATTATGCACTGTGTCCTAGAAAAATTATGTGTAAGAAAGGAAAATGATTAAATTAAAATTTAGTTCTCATTTATGAAATGTGGGGAATGCAAATAGGCTTTAACTCAAACCCAAAACATAAGCATACAGTAAGTGTAAAATGCTATGCATATGCATGTGCATGAGAGAGAGAGAGAAATTGTACAGGAGTTTGTCCCAAGCATAATTGTATTTACAGTCTTGTGTAACTGGCATTGTTTAGTAAAAGAAGGTGCCAGTGCAGTAAGTATCCAATTAGAGCAGTGAAAATGAACTATGGGCTGGTGAGAGAGAGAGAAAAAGAGCTGAACCAGCAGCCTAGATCAATCAGGGTAACCTATCGTCTTTGCTAGGAGCCAGGATCTTTAATTAAAATCCTTGTATTTCACTAATAACTTTGCATGTTCGTAAGATTTTTTTATTGATTTCAGTTATTTCCCATTTTTTTTGCTTCATAGATTTACAATCCCTTGACATAATTTAAAATTAAGGGAAACATTGAGATAGCCTGATTAATTACATACATTTGTGAAAAAAAGCAACATCTTTCTTCCCCAACACATTTGTTTAACATGACTGTCAACGAAATCTTGCCATTACCCTTCTTGTCCACATTTCCTACATTTAAATAGTCTGCAAATCTTGACATGAAGTTGATGTTAGCCCCACTAGTTTGTAATCTGGGCCTTAATCTTGCAGGTAGTTCCATATAAAGATATCCTTAGCTCAGCATACACTTCCACTGAAATCAGATGTATCTGCTTAGAACACCAGGCCTTTCTCACTGCACAAGGGACTTTCCTGCCAGTTATACTGGTGCAACCTGGAGGAGAATTGGTGCCTCCTATTTTTGCTAAGGTTGCTAAGTGTCTGGCTATCCGATAGGATGTTCTCAAAGTTCACAGCTGCATGGTGCCTGTCTACACCTTGGTGTGGACCTCACGGATTTTGACTAGGCTGCTGACAGGAGCTACAGTGCACCTTCTAGTTCTCATTTGCTCCAGCATCCACTGTGTGTTGCAGCCAGGCACCTTCTGCCCCTCCGCTCCCACTTCTGGAAGGAACTGAAAGGGGCAGCAGTGGACAGGGGAAATGAGGGTGTTTTCACATGGGTGCTGGGAATAGGGCGGGGGGGGTGATTTAAATGGAGCAGCTCCAAGAGCCACTGTAATTAAAGAACCCTTGGCATCTCATGCATCAACGTCCCTGTGCTTCAAAATGATGGCAGGAGCACTTTAACCATAGCTTGTTGAATGAGCTTTAGCTAAAGTGCCCCCTCTGCTGCTTTGAACTGCAGGGTTGCTGATCTGTGAGATGCAGAGGCTGGCTGGAGCGTGCTAATTAGTATGCTCCAGCAGACTTGATTAATCGAGTCTCCTCCGATGTTCTGTAGTTACAGCGCATCGGAGCAGCCTCTCCGCATATGTACAGGTACCCCGATTGTCAGCTGTAGCAGATGGAGAAAGGCCTAATATTGGGGCCAGAGCTTCCCCTGCATCCTTTCTGCAAATGCTCTGATAGGTGACACCAATCTACCAGCTGCTGTGCTGTGCAGTATCCTGAGCCTCCTGCTTCTTCTAGCACAGGACTTACCAGCCACCCCTGCAGCCTTACAATAGTCAGTAAACAGCCCAACAGCAGCTTCCAGCACCTCCCACTCTCCAAATCCCCAGCCCAAATGCACACGTACCCAGGAAGCAACTAGTTTCCTTCACCCACTGAGACTAAACACTGTTCAGTCCTAACTTCTGTCCCCTACCCAATTTCTCAGGGCAAATTATTACATACATATTGACTCATTAAGTAATTTGCACTGAAATGTCACACATTGGCAAGGCTTGGCAGCTGTATCTTGGAAGTGAGGAGACATCTCTGAGTACTGGTCAAATACTTAGTATAATGACTTGGGCAAAACAACAGCCGAAAACATTCACC